ATTGCTCAATTTTGGTTTGTATTTTAATTTTGATTATTAAATTGTTGTATTCACCTAGAAGTCTTTGTTAATAGGTGGGGCTGTGCAGATTTTCCTTCCATCTTAGGCAGGACACAAATTATTGTCCTGAATATTGCATGAAGGAGAACATAAACACTTCTGTCTCCCTGGAGGCAGATGAAGGAAGCGCTAGCATCATCTCCTAAGGAGGAGAACAGAAAGATGTCAGCACTGTCTCTTCTCCAGAAGGAGAAAGGTGGAGTGAATTGCTGCTGTGGTATCAATGGTCAGCTCTGTTTAGGTGCCTTGGTGCCTTCCCAATGTTTTGGACTACAGCTGTCATCAGCCCCAGTCAACGAGACTATGGGAATTCAAATTTTTGGGAGGTACCTCAGTCCCACAATACTTAACTACTGGCTGTGCAAGCTGAGGCTGGTAGGAATTGTAGTCTAGAACAGTGATCCTCAACCTTGGGCCTCCAGATGTTCTTGGACTACAGCTCCCAGAAGCCTTCACCACCATCTCTGCTGGCCAGGATTTCTGGGAGTTGAAGTCCAAGAACATCTGGAGGCCCAAGGTTGGGGACCACTGGTCTAGAACACTTGGTAGGCACCAGATTGCCTTCTCATTGTAATCCATATGGATAGGTTAGTAGTGCCAATTATGATAGTTCCATGCAACTTTTTCATGATAAACTGATGCAATGTGTGCAGCAATTTCAAGATTTCTAGCACTCACTAGGGGCCTGTTGGTCATAGAAATCCTGTTCATGAGTACATTCATATATACTCATCTAGCTCCCCACCATACACACCGAAACACTGTTGTTTCCATATTTGAACGAAGCCTGTATGCTTTTAGAAGCAAGACCCATGGCCATATAAAGAAAGGTCTTCTCATTTGTGGTAGAACTCTCTCTATAGCACAAGTAGGCAACCTGGTGCCTTTCTGATGTTTGTGAGCATAAGTCCCATAATGCCAGATCAAAGGCTATACTGGTTAGACTTCGCTGATGTTATAGTCCAAAATATAAGGACTTCAATAAGGAAGTCGACTGGACCTATCTGTTTATTTTCTGAAAATGTATTAGATCATTCTGTCCTGCCAAACTGTTGGCAAAAGTTATTTACTTTAAAGTCTTCTAATGCTGTTCCTAAGAAAGAGTTCTATTATTGGCACTGTGATTTTTTGCTGTTGTTTTTAATTTGGTACAAGTTTATTTAAAACTGTGAGAACAGTATAGGGAGAGCTTCCATTAGTATCAAAAGGCAGAATATAAAATTAATTAATGAAAGCAGTACTAGTTTTTTGCCTCATCCTGGTTTCATGCTTAGTGTCATTTTGATGTCAAACAAGAGGCCGTTTGTCCTAGAGAACTTCTGAGGATATTTAAAATTTCTACTAGTTTTCTGTTACATTCTTAATTGTATTTGATGTATTTTAGGTATTTAATGTCCCTATTTTGTGAAAAATATTTCAATGTGTAGTGTGGATTTTCCTGAATTTTTGTTAACAGTTCCTGCAAATGTTTAGTGACAGGTAGGCTGGAAATATTTTGGCAATGATGGCCTTCTGCTGGCAGTGGAGAATACAAGTTTTTGAAAATACAGCACAGGATCTATGTACCATAAGATAAAATGATTTAAAATGAACATAAAATTCTCACTTCTCTTGTTCTTGCTTGCTCTGTTGTTGTTGTTATCTGCTGCTGAAGGGCTGTTTCTGTGATATGTAGTTTTATATAAATTAGATTTGTTTCAGAATCTAATTTTAAAAGGTTGAACAGGCTTTAATACATCTCAGAAAAAAGCTGCCATGTATGGATTCCATTCATAATTAACTGCTTTTGACCAATTCGCATACTGACATATACTAATTGGACAAATGCAATATTTTCAGCATTTTATTCCCAAATGTTTATGCGTCATTACTGGTTTTCTTGGAAAAGGGAAGAGTCTGGCATTTTTTTCCCTTCCAACTGTGATGTAATGCTGATTAGCCAAATTTGCCTTATTAAGTGAGATTAATATAGTTTGACAGCACCTTGAGCAAGAAGCAATAATTTCTGTTGATACTAAACAGTTGGTCACTTTCAGCAGAGATGAGGAATTCTGTCACTTGTCTTGAACAATATTTGACCTCTTAGCTGAAATTAGTGTTAAATTCTAGTGATTCCAAAAATAGCATGTCATATAGATGTGGGAATAGATCACAGAGCTTGTATTCTACGAATCATTTAAGATTTTTGTTTGTTTGGGGTGTTTTTTTGTTTTTGTTGTTTGTTTTGCTCATTTGTACTATAGATTGGAATTGGAAACTGTAATTCATGTCTGTACAAGGTGAATTAAAGTCCTTTTTAAAATAGCATAGAATATTATCTGGTGAAAGCAGAGTTCTTAATCTGAACCATATTACTGTACCTTGAAACAGAATTTAAAATCAAGCATAAATACCAATTAAGTAGTATTTTAATAATTTTCATACTGGAACCATGTCCCTTTTAAAAATAAGAGTTGTACATTTACAGTTATTTTGTAACTAGGAGAATAGGCTTCCTATTAGCTGCAATTTAATTAATATTAACGGACTTTGCAAATGTATGACTAGGGTTAGCAAAATTCTGGACTAAAAATATGAGAGCAAAAAAGCTGGTTATGTTTATACGTGATGTGAGTAGGGGGAAATGGCATACGATAGGCTGAAACATTAATCAAGAACTTCCTTTTTGATTGACAGTTTTACTTCCCCAAAGAACACAACTTGGCTTCTCACTTTTCCACCTTTCATTCATTCTTAGAAACCTTTATTGGCATTATACACTTTTCCACCTTACTTAAAGTAGAGTCTACAGTAAACAGAAGAATTCCTGCTTTTCTCTGATTTCTGACGAGCAGTTACACAGTCCTGCATTTCCCTTTCTTTAAGGGTAAAGGCAACTCCCAAACTGCATATATACATCAAATTATTTAAGTGGAACTCAGCTGCCTTGGTACCCTCACAAATGGGTAACATTCAGAGGAGATTTCTCGTAGACAACTCCTAGAACTAATAAATCAATGCAATGAAACATTGCAATTGTCTCTCCACCATCAGGAGTTATTTTGCATTTTCTGTGAATCCATTCCTATGTGTTTTGGTCCCCAGCCTAGTGCCCTTCTTCTCTCTTTTTAGACTATTTGTTTTAGTAGGGTAGTTGACTTAGCAGGCAGCTAAACCAATCATAGCTCAGAATATTTTCACTGTAATTTACAGCTCATTCTTTTGTTATCACTAATTTTAATTGGTCTTTTCAGCAGCACTAAAACATCTCCCTCTCATGTGCTATTAGCACTACATTTGGAAAATGAATGGGAGGGTTGGAAGTGAGGGAATCAAATGTATGTTCTAGCTGTATTTTACTGATTCAGCATAGTCCATGTTTCATACACAAGCCAGTTAAAGCTTTCCCATGTAAAAATGGCCTAAAAGGTTTGGTGATTGGTGTCCTGTCAATTTGTACAGGGCTGTGGAGAAGAGAGAGTGAATGTTGAAGAGTGCTTCAGTTCATTGCTTGCAATGAAAGAAACCATTGAGTATTTACAGTAAGTTTGAAAAAAGAGAGGGGGGTGTATGCACTATGGTTGTAATATCATAATATATGGTACAGTTGAAGTGTTTAAAGGATGCTTTGACAATTATAATGTGTTCTCTCCTTCACCCCACCTCAAATTATTGGCTGAGCTCCAAAGTGCACTTTCAGTTTAGGCACGGCATCGTCATTGGTTTCAATAAATTTCTTTTTTCCCAGCTGCATCCCCTCATGTAACATTGCTTTCTCTTCTGTAGGATTCCCTATCCTTCAGGAGGCAAGGCTGGAAGGAGGCGCATGGAAGCACTGGTGTTCCTGTGGAACACCACACTGTACTTGGCTTCCATGCCTATTGCAGCACACCTTACTCCATTTTAATTTTCTTTCCTCAACAGGTATCGTTCTGGTTTGTGTTTACTCAGAAGTAATTTCTGTTGCATTCAGTGGGACCTGCTCCTATGTAGGCACAAAAGTCAAGCAAATGGTTTAAAGCTTCCTTTAGACCAGGATTGGTGAATGTGTGGCTTTCCAGATGATGTTGAACTCTAACTTTCATAGTTTCTCACCTTTGGCTATGCTGGCTACGGCTGTTGGGAGTTGTATTCCAACAGTACTGTATCTGAAAAGGCATACACCCCTCACCCCTGATTTAGACTAGGCTGCATTAAATATTGCATTTCTCTCCCATAAGTATGGGTTGTTGTTTTTTTTTTGCTGTTTTAATTTTCCTTAGGATCAAACTTCTGGTACATTGGAGTTCACTGAAGCAACTCTAGATTCCCGGTGTTGATTGCTTAAATGTATCCAACTATGTTCCGCTGAACCTGCACTGTTATGTGACCCTAACTTAACAGTATTTTTTATGTTTTAACTAGCAGCAGCAAGACATACTAATGCTCATTTACTCTTTCCCTCCTACCTCCTTTTTATGGAAGATAAACATTTCCTCTTCTGCCATTGCCAAATTATTTAGGAGAAGAGTGTAAATTGAAGCCATTTATCTTGAAATGTGCCATTGCAGCAGACTGTTTATACAAGTGTAAGAAATTGTAACACAGAAATATTTGGTCTGGTCTGAAAGGAAAAGGGTTCTTTTCTTTTTCTTTTTTTCCCCCTTTTTGTTAATAAATGTTCCACATTTGGAAATGTTGGTATGATACTGAATGAACACGTGTCTGGCAGGAATCAACTTAAGACACATGTTTGTTTTTTTAACTGAAACAATAGACTTTTTTTTAGATAAAGAGAATGTGGGTATTTTCTGCTCCCTGGTACATGAAATTAGCTCTTTTAAAATTGCTCTCGTTCTTTACGGGCTACAGAACATTCCATGCATGTGGGAAAGTTTATTGGTGGCCTGTGAGCTCTTAGACTGTGAATCCAGAGTAAGTTATTGTTGGCTGATCCCAGGTTGTAAATATTTGTCTGTCAGTTGGTGGACGAGTGAGCCGGGAGTTAAGTTACACACGCCAGAAGATTGGAGAAGAGGCCATGTTTAATCCCCAACTCATGATTCAGACACCACAAGAAGACTGTGCTAATGTATTGACAACAGAAGCACTCAGACAGCACCTTGATTCTGCACTTCAGGCTAGCCGGGTACACGTATATATGTACAACAGGTAAGACAGGAGGTGAAAGCCTCTCCCCTCCTTTTCCTGTCTTGCCCCTCAGGCTAAAATCAATTTCACATATTGACAAGAAGTGCTGACAAACAGATGTGAGAATGTCAGGCTTCTACTTTCTTTTTCTGTGGGAGTGCATAAAGCAGCAAGGCACACGCTTCCAGTACATGTACAGCTTGTGCATCTGACCTATGAATGTTTCCTTTATTGTGAGAGTGCAGTAAACAGAAGCATGGTGTGCCTTCACATCTGCTTTTCAATACTTGCAGCCCTATCAGTGACTAGTTTCCCTGGAGGGCTACTTCAACGGAAATAAGAGGAAATAGGTTACTATCTGAACCATACCTCTCTGTAATTCTGTTAGCCACCGGTCACCTTCTTTTTTATTCTTCCTTGGCATCTTTGTGTCTGTGGAATGGAGATAGCACCCTTGGGTGCTGATCCTGGCTTAAAGTGCCTCAGGTCAGAAAATAAGCATGTACAACTAATTACACAATCTACATGCAAGTTTGATATAAAGCTGTATGTACCGGTTTGCTATAAAAGAAAACAGAACATTCCTCCTATCTCCAGAAAGTGATTTTAAAAGTTTGGGCTTTTGAATATGTTGGACTATTAACAATTATAAGTATTAGTTTGTGAGAGTCAATTGTGAAAAACAAGGATTTAATTAATAGCATTTAGATCTTATCTTGAGGCACCTCAGCTATCTTGTAAATCCCCAAACAGGTTTTGATGTAGTATATACATGCAGCATAGAACCTGCTTGACTCATTGGTGACATTCAACACAACAGGAAGACCTCAGTAAGTCAGATAATGGCCACTCCAAATTATTTTCTAAAATATTTTGTATTTATTTTCCAGAGGACCAGCTAGCTGGTGGTTTCTGGTGAGAGATGCTGGTAACAGTCACCTTTATGATTCTGAAGTTAGATAATAGAGGTAAAAAAGATAAGGAAGTCATTGAAACAAACTACACCACCATATTGTGGAGAAATTTTATGTCCCATATATGTTAACTAATATAATTCAAATTGTAGCACTTTGCAAGGCTGACAAAGCAGGAATTCCCCTTGTAGTATGTTATGCCAGAGATGAAGCTTGCACATTAAAGTCCCAAATAAGCCTGAGCAGCAAGTTAGAAGCAAATCACAACCTTCCTTTTTCAGAGAATTAAAAATTCAGTTACATGCAGAAGTGGTGTTCTCAGCAGTTCCTAAATGGTTAAAGCCCTGTTTACAAAGTCATAATCTCTGGAACAAACAGAAACTACTGTACTCTGTTTTGGCTGTTGCACAATAGGCCCCTTATTAGACTGAATGCAGTCTGCAGTTTTCCTAAATTTGGTCCACTACATGAGTGATATGCGCATTGCACAGATATGTTTGTTGATCTGATTTGCTCTCTGATTTTAATTTTTTTTAGACAATGGAAATTGGAACACTTATGTCATAAATCAGGGGAACCGATCACAGAAACTGGTTATATGGACAAGGTAATGATGGACTATATGTTGACCTTGTAATGTTTTGTTATATTTTTCTCAATTGATAATCAAATGATCTTCATCCTTTTGTCGTTTTCTAACTTTTACAGATTATCGAACACCTTTACCCTTGTTTAATTATCACTCCTTTGGACTGCTTTTGGGAGGGTGCAAAGTTACAGTCAGGGACTGCGTATCTACCGTAAGTGGTGTTTGTTGTTTTCCATTTTTGCATGAGATGGCAGGATATGCGTTGTTGTATTGTGAACACAATTATTAGAAGCTGCAAATGTGGAGATGTGACACTTGTCTTTATCTTTGTAATGTTTGTGTGGTCACAAGACTAAGTAGCCTGTTCAGACATCTCTCTGCCTCCATGAATGGATCTATATAAGAAAGTTAAATCTGTCCTAGTATGTCAGCAGAAATGTAATGAGAGAGTAGCAACGGATTCTTTTAGCTACTACTCCTTGTATGCATTGCTGCCAAGAAATAATGCTGAATGAGATATTGCCTCCTTCATGCTGCTACATCATCATCAGATAGGTTTGAGCCAATTCATACTGAACCAATTATAAATAATGGATTTGATCCAGATTGAACTAGTTGAACTTCATAGAATCAGTGGGACAGTTTTTGGTGGCTGATAGCAACGCTGCCTGCTGCAGTGGAAAAAAAAGTCTTGTGGCACTTTGAAGACTGATATGTTTTATGTGGCATAAACTTCTGAAGACTACAGCATATTTCATTAGATGCTTCTGATGAACTGGGAAGCAGTTTAAAAGAATTTACCCCAAATAACATTTGTTTCATCTTCAGGGTGCCACAGAACTCTTTGTTGTTTACAGTGATATAAACTGCTGGATAGAGGTTGGGAGTTTGATTCCCCACTGTGCCTCCTTGACAGGGGCTAGACTCGATGATCCATAGCTCTGCAGTTCTAAAAGAATCAGTAGTAGTAGCAGTAGATAGTCATGATTTAAGTTTGTTTAGTTTCAACAGGAGCGAAGTTCAACTACATTTGTTTGGATACAAATCAGTGTGTGAATGGGCTCTAAATTTCAATTATTTTGTTGAATATAGTTATGATTATTTATAACCACTGAACATTTATCCTCAATACTACCGTAAATGGGATTTCAAACTGTCACTGTGAATAATTTCCTACAATAATTCCAACCTGGCTTCTAAATCTTAATATAAATGCAGTGGTAAGACTGGAAAGGAAGCAAAGTGTGTATTTCAGTGTTTTTTCTTTCTTTCTGTTCTTCAGTCTTCTCTTAGATGGCATACGTACTGTTTGTGCCTCTTATTTTCACATATCTCACTTTTAAAAGCAAAGAGAAAGAAAGAAAGTCTGGTCTTTTATTTAAAATCAATCAATATGAAAGAAAATTCTGAAAATAAGAAACTGGGTTCTGGGTTCTCTTTCTTGGGGAAAGATAGAAATGCTTCCAAAGTGTTGCAGAAATGTTTTGAAAACACATTCCTAGCCCAGGAAATAAATGACTCATAAATGCAACGAAAGTGTGCCTAAACTATTTCCACAAAATTTTAAAATGCCTGTCTGCCTTCACTATTATGTGGTGCTATGATACCATGATTATTTTGGGGAACTAATTAGGTGGTGCTCTTGTCATGCTTTTAATTCTGCCATATAACAGCATTGATGGCCTTAAATTCTTGTATATATGTAATTTGCCACCTTGAATAAAACTAATCATAATACTGTAGTTTAAAAAAGAAACCAGCCTTTTGTTTTTGGATCATTCGATGGCATAAAAAAATCTCTTTTGAGTGATACTTATATACAACATAATGTTTTCATCAAAGAGTCAATTTTTAATCGGTTTAGGTATTTTTTGTAATTTATGCAAGACTTAGATATGTTGTGTTATTTTCTTTGCTCTGGTTTGCATGTCTCTGTAAAAGCAATTTGCAAAGACCATCTCTTAACCTTCAATGTGGAGGGGTTTTTTTCTTCTTTAATGGGGGAATAAGGGGGCTTGTGTTTTCTGGTTGGGAGAGTTTGAATAATGACTTAAGCCTGGTTAGGCAGATACAGTAGTTTAAGCCTTAAAAAAAGGCAGCCAAAAGCCTTTCTGATCTGTCAACATAACAAAATCAAATGTGGAAGTTGAGAAAGTGGAAAGACAGTCATGATTCTGGCAACAGCAGGAAATGCTGAGGAGTATTCAGGATGAGGTTGAAAGTTGAAAGAAACTGAAGGAAAGCATGCTAGTAAAAAGAACTTTAAAGATTATTAATCTTACTGTCTACAAAGAAATGTGTAAAAAAGCAGTTCCTAACACAATAAAAAATCTCACTTTTTTTTACTACAGTGGTGCCTCGCTTAACGGGCGCCCCGTTTAACGACGAAATTACATAGCGATGAAGATTTTGCGATCGCAGAAGCTATGGCATTGCGATGTTTTGAATGGGGAAAATTGCTTTGCGATGATCGGTACCCTGTTTCGCTTACCGATCATTGCAAAGCAGTGATTTTTTAGCAGCTGATTGGCGGTTTCAAAATGGTCACTGGGTTAAAAAAATGGCCACCCGCTGTGTTTAGGGACGGATTCCTTGCATAAGAGGCAGCGAAAATGGCCACCGTATAGAGGATCTTTGCTTTAAGGTGAGTTTTAAGCCCATAGGAACGTATTGAAGGGGTTTCAGTGCATTCCTATGGGCTTTTTAATATTGCATAGCGACAAAATTGCTTTGCAGCGATTTTTGCTGCACCGATTATCGTCGCTATGCGAGGCACCACTTGTATTTGACTTTCAGTTATAAGGCTTTGGAATCTGATTGATTTTTCTGTTTTTAAAGGGAAAACACATTTTATTAAAAATCAAATTCCAGTTTTCACCAGTATTTAAGGCTAGTTCAGATACAAAATTGCTGATTCATTTGGACATTTCTGGCCACATGCATGAACCCAACATTATATAAATCAAGTGAAATTTGAGGAATGGGTGTTTAGTCATTAATCTTCCCCAGTTTGTAAAATCATTTTGTAGATGGAAAGCCCTGCATTCGCAGAAGTTGCTGCTAAGTAATATTTATATTACTGTGTTCAAACATTACGTTTAATAGAAAGATTTCACCTAGGAGGGATGAGGTGGATCACATAAATGAGATGTGTAATGACTGAAAATGGTATGGCTTGTCAAAAGTACATAGCTAACTAAACACTGAAATTAACAGGGTATGCAGCAGAGTCCTGAGCATGCTTTTTCACCGAACTCTGCTGATTTAATTTAACTGTGATCCCAAGCCAGGAGTACTTTGGGGTAACCTGGATTGGATTATTTCCTCATATTGTTTTGACTTTGAAGGTGCATAAGGAGGAATGGAGGTATGGAAGATGAATATTTGGGTGTGCATCAGTGTGAAGTTTGTTGATGTATTTCCATCATTCTGGTCTTCTTTTTAAAAAAAAAACAGAGGGAAGCCTCATTTGCAGTGGACCAACTTTGATCCCTTAGAATTCTTAGAAGAGTTGAAGAAAATTAACTCTCAAGTAGATACTTGGGAGGAAATGCTGAATAAGGCAGAAGTTGGCCATGGGTATATGGATAGACCTTGCCTGAATCCTGACGATCCTGACTGCCCTATCACAGCCCCCAACAAAAATTCAACCAAAGTAAGTTTATCTGTTGTTGAATATCTGGTGGAATGGCTAACTTTCATATTTATTCCATTTTCTCAACAATATTATTTAGTTTCAGGAGCCTTAAAATACTTTCTTTTAAGTTGTGCATGGGCAACATTTTGTCTCCTGTTGTTACAAATGTCTGTGGTCATATTTTTTAAAGGATGGTCACAGAAATACCTTTTTTTAATGTGGAAGTTCAGAAACTTGGAAGCAAATGGAGATATGATAAGCAAAAGATAAATGGATTGCTTCTGTAATGCTTAGATCCCCTTTGATATATGAGGAAGGTATAAAAATGTGACAAATAAATCACTGTGTGGCATGCCCTGCCATGCATAGGCAGCCTTGTTTCAAAGGTTTCACCCCTTGTTTAATAAAAAGATTTAGAAATTTCTTTCAACTCTGTAAGTCAGTTCATGATTTCAGAGTATTTTAATCTGAGACTCCAGGTTGCACCCGGTGGTGTCATAGCTTCAGCACAGATGTTATATTACTTGCAGTTTATTAATGCAAAACTGTCAACTCCAACATTTTTTTCTGACAAGGTGTTGCACCACTAGTGATGATTTCATTTGCCTTGGTGTTTGTTGTTGTTTGCCAGTTACACTAGCTGTTGCACAGATCCTAGCAATAAAGTAATCTATTTACTTGCAAGCCCTTGAATCTTTTGTTACATGCCTTTGCTTGTGGATGCTTGACTGTTTTCTGCTTGTGTCTATGAATTTCCATTGGTAGATAACCATTATTTTTATTTTCAAATGTGAGCATGATACAAGTAGAATGATGGATATATCAGGAAAGGGATAAAATTAGAGATGGGGGTATTTGTATACAAATAACCCCCCCATACACACACACACACAGATGGAGATAATGAGAGTCTGGCCTCCGGGGCCAGACTGTCGACTCACCGTTCTGCTGCTGCTGCAGGCTCCACACTCCCATATTGCTCTGGAGCTCGCAGTGGGTTAGCCACTCCTGGTAGGAGGCGGGATGACGGGCCTCTCTGCCAGGTCGAAGAGTGGCTAATTGACCACAAGCTCCAGAGTGATAGGAAAGGAGTGCAGAGCCTGCGGCGGCAGCAGAACAGTGCGTGGACGGTCTGGCCCAGGGGCCAGACCCTCATTATCTCCACCTGTGGGGACTTATTCGTATACGGATATGAAAACCCCATAGATAAAATCTGTCAGGATTAGTCTTGTTTTTTCAGATACTGTGATGTGCAATATTGCATCTCCAGTTTTGTTTCTGCCTTTTTGCAAAGTAAAGGATTTAGGATATGACTGTTACTGGATCTGAAAACCCAACAAACTGTGTCACATACCTGAGTTCACTAAGATATGAGTTATCAATATCAATTAAGGCAGACTTTACTATAATTAATAGCAATAATTCAGCAGCTCCCAAACTTGGGGTGCCATATGTTGTTGGACTTGTTACGTAGTATGCTCTCAGAGGACGTGTATGAACTTGACTGTGTTATAAGATACATTTTTCAGGGATATTTTGAGCCATGGCAATAGTGCATCTTAACATAAATCAGAGTAAATGTGTCACATTAATGCAGAGGTGTTATCTAGGAGATTTTATTAGACACACAAGGAATATAGTATACACAGTGATTGTATTGGGTCATGGCAAACACAACCGTAGATCACATGAATCAAAATAAAATAATTTGTTTCAAAAATATTATGGGCTTTACCAGCTCAAAGGAAGCAACGCTCACAAGGCTGAAAGGGCTGCTACCTGGAAGAGCAGGTGGGGGAAGACAGAGGTCCCAAAGGGGGAAATTAAAGATCTTTCGCAAGATGCAAACACATGCATAGAAAATATGAGGAACAGAATGGGCAGCCATCAATGCGTGGGGAACCGCTTTGAAATTACATTTAGGAGTGATAGAAAATACTGTCCTTAGTCTTGTTGGATTGTCTTGAAGCGAGAAAGCATTGTAACTCCAGTTATAGCAATAGAAAGAGAGGAAAAATATTAGGCAAAGATTCCCAGAAAAGATAGACTAACAAGGTCCTAAGCCAGAATCAGGAATTGAGGAGAGGAAGATGGGCAAGCAGATTTCTTTGGCTAAATGCCAGTGTGATTCAGCTAGGCCTGATCTCTGGGAGATTTCAGGGTTTTGGTGAACTCGGCTTAGAGACTTCATCAGAAGGCTTTCAGGACTGTGAGGAGCCATGTGGTAGGCAGAATTGGAAACACCATGTAGACCCATTCTACAGTGAGTATTTATGCCATTTATGAAGTATTTTGTAGAACTGACTGCCTCTGTGTCAGTCATGCTGTGTCCACATATTTCTTACCCCATTCTGATTCCCTTGTAATCTTACACTTCCCTAAACCTTTCTGATGGCCCTATTTTGCCTTGGGGCAGCAAAATACAAAAGGCCAACAGAATGGCTAGGTGGTCCACTTGGCTTTCCAGAGGGACATTTTGAACTTAGATGGGGGTTTTATTGTTTACTCTCTTTGGAGTTTCAAAGATTGTGATGCCATCTGTAACTGGAAAGGATAGAGACATTTTCAATTTGTCACTCTCTTATAACTTCCCACCAGTACTTCTTTCCCCATCCCCCAAAAATCATTAAGGGACAAAACATACAAACACAACACAGTACCTATTGATTGTTACTAGTAGGAGTAATCTGTTTAGAAGCACCCTTATCCTTTTTTTAAATTGCTGTTTCTGGTATCTGCTTTATTGCATGTTTGGGGGACTTTACATCCAGGTCTCGGATACTGCTTCTACTTACACTAGATTGGGTTGGCATTTTCCACTGATGCCTGCTCCCCCACCCCCCTGCCAGTTCCCTATGTTACATTGCACATCATTCTGAATGGTTCTCTCAACCTTCAGGGACAGCTTTAGAAGAGGTGGTGAACAAGAAAGGAGGCAGACCAATATGTAGGGTGGAGGAAATGGCAATTCAGAAAACTCTGAAAAGTGAACATGTTCACATCCATAAATTCTACAAGAAACAAGATTTTAAGCTTCAAGCCAGAGTTGGTCCTTATTTTTCCACCAGCCCACCCCCAGTATTTTGTCAGGTCTGCAGTCTTGAGACAGGATCAATTTAGTTGTATGCCGAAGGTCCATGTTCCATGAAAAGCATCAAGAATGTGACACTATAGAGTCATTAGACCCATTCAATATTCTGAAGTTAAGAACTGCAGCTGTGGTTTGTTCCTTGGGGAATGTAGTGTTTTGGTCATCTTCCCCATCTTTGAAGGATGCTGCTAGAGAACTTAGTATATAACATTTTCTGATTGTCTTCTCTCATTTAGTACTCATATTAACACATTGCACTTAGCTTTGACTTCACCATAAAGTGAACTTCTGAAAAAAGCCCAGTTGAATTCCTGTGTTGGATTACCTGCTATCTTTCTACTGGACATTTTATGGGAACATGGAGAATTCCACATTTGCTCCTGATTGCTAGGCCTAACCCACAAAGGAGTTGTGAATTGATCAGGATTTAGGTCAAGGCACTCAGTCAACTCTTAAAGTTTGCTGCTGAAGCAGGATTTCTGTGGACTAGCAGATTTGCTTTCCTGGGTCCCTAAATTCATGTTTCTAGTCATACAATATATAAATGGATTTTCTTGTACTTTCATAACATTGTCTGGTTGTATAACGTCTTTATTTATATTGGAGCCTCTGGATGTTGCCCTCGTTTTAAGTGGTGGATGCTATGGGCTATCAAAAAAATACATGCATTGGCAGGAAGAATTGATTGTTGGTGGCACAGTTAAAAATGGTACGGGGAAACTGGTCAGGTAAGCAATCTTGGGCTTATGGCACCTGTTTGTTCTTTGTTTTCTTCTTCAACTGGTTGCTTTTCATCCTAGAAGAACAAGTCTACTGCATCCAATATGTCCTGACAAGAAAGCATATTTCTTTGCCACATGGCATTTTTACTGGTGTAACTTCTTTCATGAACCTGCCATTTTATTATATAAAATTTGGTTTATAGCTGATACTGACTGGCAGCAGTTCTGTAAGGCCCCCAATAGCCCTGCTAACCATAGATCATGTCATGATCTCATTTTGAGAACCATGTATTGAAAGGACTGACAGCCCATTGACCTCTTCTTGAAAAACATGCTCTCTGCTTAATATTGCTTCCTTATTCTAGCTGAACTGCCTATAGTAAATATGCACTTAATCTGACTAATTATAGTATATCAGTTGATTCTTGCTCTTCTTACCTCAGCAGTGGACATCACACCTCCTCTTCAATTTGTATAAGGCTAAGCCTATGGTCAAGCTATGACATTCCTAGTTGTATCAGTGCATACAATTTGGCTGTAGAGAAAGTCCAAGCTACCTTTCTGCATCGTATTTTGGGTGTTTCCAACTGGCAAGGATACACAGCCATAGGAAACTAGATTTAGACTGTAAAATTCTGGCTGTAACTCCACTTTTTAACAGAGCATCCTGGCTATGTGCACTTTATGTTATTACATTTTCATACTGGTAGATGGTTACTTTTGGTCCAGCATAAATTAAGATCTGTGGGCATTCAACTTGACTCCATTCTAATGCTTGGACAAAACAAATATTTAGAGACTATATGATTCTGAGAGACAAGAGCTGCTCTCTTTAGCAAACAGAACCTGCTCCCCTATTGTAAAAGTTTTTTTGCCAGTATGCAGGTCACCTGCATCTTACTTATAATAATCTTAGAACTGCAGAGCTGGACAACTCTTGGAACACCCTAGACTTTTAGAGCATTTATACTTGCTAGATTTGATGTTTTGCCTTTAGCATTACTCTAGATAATTGGGAATTCCCTGTCAGGAGAGTTACTGTCCATGCATAGCCGGCTGTCCTGAATTCTTGTCTCACATCCTTCTATACAGAAGAAATAAAACACAGTTTAATTTTTTTCCCTCTTGCAAAACATCCAAGGCTATCCTAAGAAGGGCTGGTTATTTATTATCTGTTGGACTGGAATCATTATGTTACTGCTCAAGTTACTAACTTAATATTGGCTATATTGTGAAGAACAGCATTGTTATTGTAAGATACTTGATAACCTTTTCTGGGTTTTTTAAAAACCTTTCTTTGTTCTTCTTTTGTATTGTGTGTAAAATGGTCGATGTATACTTGAATGAGTCATGTGACTAATAAACTTACACTGAATTGGATATTGCTTCCTAAATTATGTGTTTTATGTAGTGCATGGAAATGCTTGGATCACATCTCCTGGAGCCCTCTGGCCCAGGGGTTCCCAACTTTCGGTCCCTGGATGTTCTTGGACTATAACTGCAAGAAACCGGCCAGCACAGCTAGCGGTGAAGGCTTCTGGAAGTTTTAGTCCAAAAATATCTGGGGACTCAAGGCTGGGAACCATATTGCTCTAGCCAGCAATGCCACCAATTACGATTTTGGGAATGGTAGTCCGAAGGAGTGACTTTTTAAAGCCATTATTTTATGTTCTTTTCCATTTCTGACACCCAGTTCTCTCTTTCAGCGCCCAAGCTCTACAAACCATGTTTCAGCTAATGACACCTAAGCAAATGTATGAGCACTTCAAGGGTTATGACTATGTTTCACACATCAACTGGAATGAGGATAAAGCAGCTGCAATTCTGGAGGCCTGGCAGAGGATGTATGTTCAGGTAAAATGGAAGCTAGAACTGGAGAACCGTTAGCATGTAATATGTTTTTCTTTCAACTAAGTCACATAAGTAGAACTGTTTTTTGTGATGGGTAATGTGCCACCCTTAATAAAATAACTTCCTTTTTTAAATCTCTGGTTTGTGCTCAGTTTTAATTTGGGGGGGGAGGGGAGTGTCAGCATTACTAGGCCTGCTTTCCCACTGAAGAGAAGGAAAAACAAAGATTGGTATTCAGGCAAAGAGGTGGGGGGTGGGCAAATCTAGAATTTATAGCATTGCAATACTATATTACTGTAATGTTCAACAGTCATAAAGTGTGTGATGTATGCATTATTGTATGTCTTGGTTTGATCGTGTTGATTCTAAATTACGGTGCTCACTTCTGATTTGCTGATTTGATAATGAGCTACCATAGCTTAAAAAGCTAGGCTGGTTTTAGTACCACATGGTCAGTGTGATTATCCAGCAAAGGTGTCTGGAAAACATTAGTCAGCTATAGAATCTGTTCACAGCTGCAGTCCCATTGGTGAGGTCATATGACATTATCTGGCCTTTGTTTCCCAGGCACTGACCTCTGCCGAGCTGCTTGTGACCTCTCAAAAGTGTCCAGCCAATGAAGAAAGAGAAGATTGCTCTTAAGAATTTGTTGTTTTAAATTAGAGGCACAACTGATATAACAACAAATCAGTTGTAGGCTTATGGATAAAGAGAGCCAAAACTGGGGGCAGGGTAGAGGGAACCATAAACCTTCTTCAATTTCACTGTTTTAAATAGATTGCAATTTTCCTCTCCTCAGAGGAACACATGCTTATTTGATCTGTGGCAGCCTGCTGTGTCTCTGGAGCAAGTATGTCAATTATGTAACAGAGGGTCAATGACAGTCCTACAGTATATTTGTGTGTGTGTGGGGGGGGTTGAATTAGAATAATAGGCTTTGCATCGAATTAAGAATATGTATCATATTTATTATCATACTTTTATATGATTGCACTTCCAAATGTCTTTCTTGCAGGTTGTCCATCAAAGTGTCGCACAAAACTCCACTCAAAAGGTGCTTTCCTTTACAACAACTACCCTGGAGGACATCCTAAAATCATTTTCTGATGTCAGTGTTATCAGAGTTGCCAGTGGCTACTTATTAATGGTAAAATTGATAGAATGTTAATGCTATTTTTTAATAATGCATTTGCTATTTTTATAATATACTGTTGTCTTATAAACCATACTGGAAGTGTTTTCAGCAGATCTAAAATCTGTATTTATATGGCACTTGTTCATTCATGTAACATTTATAAGGATGATCTGGGATTCATTATGCAAAGTGCCTGGACAAGGCCCAAGATTTTACCTCTATGGTTTTCAAGTAAGCAGTAACAGAACTGGAAGTATCACAGCCTGCGACCTGTAAAACTGGAATTCAAACCTACCAATAGAATAAGCAGAGCTGGAAGAATTGCTTCTTTGGACAAGCACTCCAAAATCCCCTAGTATGATGGCTGGCAAATTCTGGGAGTTTGACCCCCCCCCAAAAAAAATAAGTCTCTGAAAAAGCAAGTCTCTGCAATCTCTGAGGATTAATTATGTCCAGGGAACCGTTGGTTTGCCTCAGTACAAAGCAATGCCTTGCAACAGCTGTGTCTTTTTTTAACGTGTATTTTGTCAGTCAAACCTAGAAAAACAAAAAACATTAAAATGTGGCTTGCTCTGATCATTTGCTTTTTAAAGAATACTTGTTTGTTCTGCTTGCAGCTTGCCTATGCCTGTTTAACTATGTTGCGGTGGGATTGTGCAAAGTCCCAGGGCGCCGTGGGGCTAGCAGGAGTCTTGCTGGTGGCACTCTCGGTAGCTGCAGGATTGGGACTGTGCTCATTGATTGGGATTTCCTTTAACGCGGCCACAACTCAGGTATTAAAGGAATAATATGCTAACATACTTTCCAGAATGAATCATGTGGCCAAACCTGGAATGTAACGAGCCATGAAGTTTCAATTTTAGGACTTGTGTTGACCTGCCAAGCAATTAACCTTTAATATGTTTAAATTGAGACAGTAATACTTCCCATAGTTATTCAGAACATAGACCTGAGTAGGAGATGTGTTACACTGCATTCAATTTTAGTGTGAATATGCATGGATAGAAGTCTTGAAAGGGACAGGAAAAGGCTTTATAATTTGTTTGAGATTTTGAGAACACATAGTTATTGACTGAACTTTGTAGTATTTATTTGTTTAAAATGCATATAAACTGCTCCGCTAGGAGAAGTGGCTAGGAAAAAATCAATGAAACCTTACATTTAATGTTAAAAATAAGTGAATCGGCCAATGTAGTGTGAAAATATTAATAAAGTATAGCATTAAAAGCCAGCAATAAACTTAAAAGAGTAAAATCAGTAATAAAAATAAAGGCTAAGGGTTGAATGCCTGCCAAAAGAGGAAGGCACCTCAGTGCTATAAAGAAGAATGCCATATGTCACTGCATAGATGAGAGGCAGCACTACTGGCAAAGCTTTTTCCCTCTTAGCAGTCATTTCACTGCCATTAGTGATGGCACCCAAAGAAGACCTTAATAATTGGGCAAGTACATAGGGGAGAAAGTACTGCTTCAGATAGACTAGTCCCAAACCATTTTTTAGCCCTCATGAAATATGAAACGATGAAATATTTCATTTTTTGTATTGGAAATTAATATTTTAATTAATATTTTAATTGTATTTTAACTGCTTTATCTTATTTATTGTATTTTAATTGTTGTAAGCCGCCCAGAGGCCTTTGGGTAGAGTGGGCTGCATATATGTTAAATAAACAAACAAACAAACAAACCTGGGCTGAGGACCTCTAAATTGCCGGTGGACAAACACTGTTTCACAAGGCCTGGGGATTCTGTGCTTTCTCATCACACAGAAAATAACTGAATGAGGAAGAACAAGGAATTTCCTTAAAATAAGCAGTGTGAAAGAAGTGTAGATCTTCAGATGGTGTTGGATTGCAGTTCTCGTCAACCCTAGGCAGCATAACCAGTGGTGAGGGGCAATGAGAACTGCAGTCCAACAATATCTGAAGGGTTATATGTGCCCCATCCCTGAAAGAAATGTATTGGTTTCAATCTCATAGGAAGAGATCTCACATTCCGCTGAATACAAGACATCCCATTTAATCATGGTTGGCGATGTTTAAACTTGTACAGAAGAACCTTTTGCTTGTGATGAAGGACTTAAGAGGGTAATATGAAAACCTGAGTCCTTCTCCTAGCCTCAGGAGCTATCATCTGAAGAAGCTTCTAACCCTGAAATCAAGCTATACAAGATGGTTCTGACAAAATAAAATGGAAAAAGGATCTGATCCAGTATATTTTGAGCCCATGCAGCAAAATGAAGAAAGACATCTCAAAGAGAAGTATTAATAAATTAGAACTAGTAACTCAGATTCATTGTTGGTCCATTCCTAAATAAGGGCACACAAACCACAGCCTGCTCTGCCCTGTATCTTTTTGGAGATCCTTCATCTCAATCCTTGTCTTGTGTTTCCAGGTCTCCATGAAAATCCCCATATCTATGAATGGGGGGATGCTAATGGCTATGTTTTGGAGTGGGAGGTTAGGCAGCACCACCAGAAATATTTTAAAAGAATTATTTGTCTGTAGAATGCAAGAAAAAGAGATTTAGGAGACAGCTAGTGAACTTTGAGAGTGGCAGCACTGCAACAGCAAGAAAAAAGAAACCAAAGGAAGAGAAGAAAGATACTAAAATGACCTTCTGACTTAATTCACAATCAGCTCAAATAGTATGAAAAGAAGAGGGGGAAAAGGTGATATGCTGCACCAATATAAGTCCAGCTGTCATTCTCCATCTGTTTTGGCTGATACCAGCTCAGTCTTTTCCATACTGTGTATTAGTTTCATGTGGTGTATTATTTTTGTTTGTCCATTTTTGACCCCCAAAATGCCAATTGAACATGAATGATCTCTGCAGGATTCCAGTCCACCAAATGGGCAACCTGGAGTTACTGACTCCACGCCCTGTTTGTCATAGGAGCACACAAATAGCTCTGATTCAGTCCATATTCCTATGTTTGCATGACATACTGTTTTTGAACAGGCATGTTTAAAAATTTAGATATAAACAGAAATCCCAAGTGTAAGAATATACAGATTTATTTTAATAAACTACCTACCATAGTATTCTGAAAACTCATCATACTCCTATAACTGTGTTTTTGGTTCCTGTTTCATCTTTGGTTCCTGTTTCATCTTTATGCAGGTTTTACCCTTTCTTGCTCTTGGAGTTGGTGTGGATGATGTTTTTCTTCTGGCACATGCCTTTAGTGAAACTGGCCAAAACAAGAGAATTCCGTTCGAGGTAAAGCCAAATGATTCGGGGCAATTCAAACCAAAAGTTTGGAACTGAAGATCTGAATAGTGCAGATTAATAAGATGAACTGAATCATCTTTTCTTTGTCTTGCATTATTGTCTAACATTAGAAATTTTTGTTGACAAGAGGGCTTAAAATTTTCCATCTTCTTTATCATACCAAACATCACCATAGTTTTCTGCCATCATGAATGACAATGTATTATTCTGGAAAAAATGTGAATTAACTTATTATTTTGAAAAAAAGTTTGAAAATTCACAGATTTGTCTTTCTCTGTCTTGCTTTATCAATCTTGCTGTCCAACACATTGGCAAATTCCCAATGGATTGAGGTCTTGTTGCAACTATTCTTACTTACCTGAGCAAATCACACAATTAAACCTTAAGAAATTAATATTCATGTCTGAATCTTATTTAAATTAAAACAAAAATCCTGATGCACTGATATGAAGTCACATCAATCCATCTACACTCTGTCTTGCTAAACAACTGGTGGGTGTTCATGCCAGAAGCATTCTCATTATGAAATATTTTCAAAATGTATTTTTAATGTCAGGATGACATTAACAATGCAGTTGTGTCATCGCTTCATATGCAAAGTATCGAATGCACTTGTAGACAGATTGCACTGCATAGATTTGCAATGTGAAATGCTCTTTATCTTGTAGGTTGCATACAGTTTAATTTCTCAGGTAGTTTTCAATTTCATGTGTCTTTTCAGGACAGGACAGGGGAGTGTTTGAAACGCACTGGTGCAAGTGTGGCCCTTACATCTATTAGCAATGTTACTGCCTTCTTCATGGCTGCCTTGATTCCCATTCCTGCGCTCCGGGCATTTTCACTCCAAGTAAGTTCATAAACCTAGTTTGTGCCACCCAGATTACTGTATAGCCATTACTATTCTGACTATGGAGACAACTATTACAGCTCAGAGGTAATACTTACCTTTAAGCCCGTTCAGGCATTATTCAGCTCGAGGCTCAGAATGTACTTAAGAGGAAAACAACTAGCTCCACCTTCTCCACTGTCTTACTCTTCATGGTTTTAGCACCAGGTCTGAAGAAGTGAAGGATCCTGCTCACGTGTAGGCTGTACATGTGAGCAAGAAATCATATTTTCCAAGACTCTTGCTTGTATGTATAGCCTGCCTGTGCTGAAACCACAAAGAACATGACTATGGAAGGAGGCAGAGCTAGCTCCTTCCCTCTAAATGTAATCACAATGCAGTGGTCAGTTAAACACAGGAACAGAGCTGAAGTGAAAGAGCAGAAATTCCCAGTCACTGGATGTCATCTCTTGCACTGAGTTGATCCGTACTAGTTGGGACACCGTTTTGAGCACCAAGAGTCAGCTCAGAAGTGTCTTAAAGCATATTTCTTTTCAGTTGTGCTTATTTTCATATATGTGGTTGAACAAAAACTGCACAGTGCTCTAATTCTACAAAGTTTATTCAAAACCAAAATTATTTTAAAAAGTGGAAAAGCTGATGCAGCCTTTGGAAAGACCTTGATACCTGGACACAGAAACTTTCAACTGTTGGATAGCTTAGTGGTTTAGGTATCTGGTTATGGAGCCAGAAGTTGGAGTTCTATTCCCTTCTGTGCTTCTTTGATAGGGGCTGGACTCGATGATCCTTTCTGCAGTTCTAAGATGATGATGATGATGAAATTACTAATAGTAAAACTAAAAATTTAGGGGTTTTGTATATATTTGAAAAGTTTTAAAAATTTTGGAGATAAACTCTGCAGTTGAAAGAAAAAGAGGCATAGCTTTCTAAAGGCAAAATATGCTGTTGCACATTAGCCAACCCATATTACAAAAATGCTGCCATGAATAGCATTCTACCACAGGGCTTGGTCACACCCTTTTTTGCAGTCTTTGGTGAGTTCTTATTAAAATCTGTTCTTACTACACAGAGGAAATCAGTTTCCTTCAAAATTCTAAAAAGAATTCATGAAGAACACGATTTATGTGCCAATCCAGTTGTGCCCACTTCTAATACTTGTGTTCTCAAATTTCACTGAGTGCCTGTTTTTCAGGAGAGTTGTGTTAGGAAAACATACAGGCACGTGTGGCTGTATATATCTTTTGGGACTCATGTTTTAGTTGCATAACAGAGAGAGAGAGCAAATGTAGCAGTCAGAGCTATGATTTCTCAAATTTGGCTCTACTTTGCTGGAAGTTTGCTGAGCCATGTTGGTAGGTAGCTGGCTATGTTTGTAAAAGTGGATTGAAGCTATAATGGATAACATTTCCTGTAGATTTCCTGTAAAGGTTCTCTCCTTTTCTTGTGCTTTCACATAATACCAATGTCATCTGATATAGAAAATATTTTTCCCTGAGAAACTAGTGAAGCTACCTATAATTTTTTTCATATTCAGAAGGACATTTTTAAAACAGAATGCCAAGGAATTGGCCTTCACGTCATTGCAGATTTAGAACCATTCAGGTGGGGAGGCTAGTTTTGAAGTTGGTCCGTGTAAGTTACAGCTACAAATCGCATTACTACTCATCAGTGTAGTAAGCTTGCTTAATTTTTGCCTATTAACTAGACCTTTTTCTGTCTGGAAGGAAGTTTGAATGACTTTAGGAAGTTCATCCCAATTTTCTGGCATGTGATTGATTGTCTAGTATAGAAACCTTGGAATCAGTTTTAGATTTGTACATAATTTGCCATATCAAAATGTGTCCCAAGAGGGAGAGAACCTTCATTACAAGATCACCTTATCTTCCTGTGGACAAATTATATTAAGTGCCTACTTAGATGTACATTTATGCTGAAATGTATTGTAGAACTTAACATTTTATCAGTGTATATTTATAAAGCTTCTAGTTGTAAATAATGTTGCCATCCATGCCTGTAATTGGTCTTGGTCTATTTCCTCCTTAGAAATAATGGTGACATTTCTGAGATCAGTTTTCTCAGAAATTGTAAGAGCATCAGAGGAGTAGTTCTTTAGAGATAGGCTATGCAAATAAATAAGTTCAAAAGCCTGTAGTTCTTTATTGCTTTACCTAGGCCTTTTATATATTGTTTTGAAAGTGTTTAATACTGATTTAATCTGATATTTAGTGGGAGCTGTCCACAAGTTTCATAGTGGGAGCTGTCCACCAAATTATTAGTGGAGCTGTCCACCAGAAATGAATATCTGTCATACGATGTTGCTCAGTTAATAGTATCAGTTATCACTTAAATAATACCTAGGTTCTGCCATGTTTAGCAGTTACTTTACAATAAAATACTTGACATCTCAGACATGCAGTGAAACTATTGTCCTAGTAAGCCTTATACCTTACTTGATTCAGATATAATATTTACCCATAGTTATCACGAACACTGATTTGCAAACTCACTTTGAACCATTGCATTGCTTTCTGGATTGCCACTGTATGGTTTAGCTGGCCACATGTAACACTTGGCAATGATTTAAGTGAGGAATTATGATTGACTGCATTTGGACAATCAGATATTTATTTATTACCTTAAAATATGAATAAGCTTACTGTACTTCATACAATCACTTTCCACTTTTGCATGAATGGAGAAACAAATATGAAAGACACATGTAATAATCTTTTATTTTGGTTTGGTTTAGTCTATAGTTTCTCATTGCATGCAAACCAAGACCCATGCTTCAAAACTTTTAAAAAGGCAAAAACACACACACACACACACAAAAAACCTTAAGGTCATGATTCCATAGCTTTGGCTTGTTTGGAAGCCATGAAACATAACTTTTCAGGTTCCAATGTAAAAGAAAGCCGAAGTTGATCATGGCTTCCTAACCTTTTTCCCTAGTTGTGAAACTGGAAGAGTGCAGTGGTTGCATGTAGGTGCCCAAGAATTGTGCATGTCTGAACGGAAGAAGGTGTGATTTAATTGACTGTCTGAATATGACTACTGCATTTTCCCAGGACCAAATTGTGAAACTGCTATTATCTGTTACAATGTTATTAGGCAACATGGAATTTTTTCTTCTTTTTGGTTCTCCGGCTTTTTTTTTGCATACTCAAAGGGACGGCCACCTCCATTGAGGCAGCCAGATGATAATGGCTGAAATCCTGTTGCTTAGCATAATAAAATTCATAACTCTTAGTCCATTCCTATAACCAGCAAATAAAAGGTCCCTGCTATAGTTCTGGGGTGGTGGTGGAGGAAATATACACTAAGCCAGCATGTTTGCATGCCCCCGAGAATCAAACGGAGGACTCTCTGTTTGCTGGCTAGGAACAGACTGAAACATGAATTTTCTTATACTAGGCTACAGGATTTCACCATTACTTGTTGGGCTTACTTCACAATCTTACCCTGTGATTCTCCAGGCCATCACTGCTGTCTTTCTGCCAATAAATAAATATTAATAATAACTTCACTACATTAAGCTTTTCAAGTGTGGCACTTCGGAAGATAATTTCGAAGCCTCTCAGAACAGCTGGGAGGCTCGCAGATGAAGCTTGTGCTTCTTGAATGTCTTGCTTTAATGGAGAATTGTCTACATTAGAGGTAAAATGGGCCTTTTTAACTAGCATAGCAGTAATGCTATATGTGGTGACTGATTAATAGGGGGGAGCTGACAAATGCATCCTTCCACCCCTTGTTAATTGGCCCATACCCGAATTATGGTGTATGATGAAACACTGATTGGACATTTATCCATTGTATACATAGAAATAATATTTTCTCTTTCCTGGGCTTAGAGTATGCCTATGGTATTATGTGTAACACTGTAGTGCTGCTTTTGTGTGTATGATTAGCACATCATTGAATATATTTATTTCAAGTTGGCTGTCAAAACATGAAGGTCTTCTGTCACTGGAGATGACCTATCCATGCGCACATGAAATGGTTTACGTACTCTTAGTTGATAAAACAGGGCCTTACAGCATGTATGGACAAACTAGGATCATAGCTAATACAGTACAGTGGTGCCTCGCTTAGCGATCGCTCCGTTGAGCAATGAATTCGCATAGTGAGGGGGTCCGGGCCATCGCTGGAGCATTCGCTCAGCGATGGCCCCTATGGCGTTTTTTCGCTGTGCGACGATTTTCGCACAATGAAGCGGGGGGAACCAGCTGATCGGCTGTTCCAAAATGGCCGCCGCAACTTTTCCCGCCGCGCCCTCGCTTTGCGAGGGCCCGAAAATGGCTGCCCCTATGGAGAAGCTTCGCTCAACGGTAAGTTTTGGGCCCATTGGAACGCATTAAACCAAGTTTAATGCGTTTTAATGGGTTTTTTTGTTCCGTTGAGCGATGTTTCTCATAGCGATGGTTAATCCGGAACGGATTAACCTCGCTATGCGAGGCACCACTTCAGCAAAACCCTGCATGTAATCTGTGTCAGTTCCAAATTCTCTTTGAATGGTAGTTGCCATTCTATGTGCTGTATGTGGGTGTGTATCTAAAGCAGTGGTTCTTAACCTTGGTTACTCAGGTGTTTTTGAACTGCAACTCCCAGAAACCCCAGCCAGCACAGTTGGTGGTGAAGGTTTCTGGGAGTTGCAGTCTAAAAACACCTGAGTAATCCAAGGTTAAGAACCACTGATCTAAAGTACTAAGAAATCATGTACAGCTCTTGTTCCACCTCCTCTGTTGTCACTTCCATCACTCTCTTACATGTGGACGGTGATGAGTCTGAAGAGGAAAATCAGGATCCCAATTCCATGGAGAGCATTATTTTCTCTCTTCAGGCACACTGCTATTCACATGTATGATGGTGGCAAAACTGAGTACAGTGGTGCCTCACTAGACAGTTACAGCGGGGTCTCTACTTAAGAACTTAATCTAATCCGGAAGGTGGTTCTCAAGTTGAAAAGTTCTTATGTTGAATCTGCATTTCCCATAGGAATG